CACATGTTCTGTTAGAATTGGCAGTATCACTTCCCACTATGTTTCCAGGAAAGCTAACGAGGCAGCCAATTGACAGGAAATGGTCTTTGTCATATTTACAATCTTATGTTTCGTTGTGACTTCTACACAGGTTGGATTCCCGCCTTCTGTTTTGTTTCCTCTTTTACAAGCTGATGTTTCATTGTAACTTTTTGACTGGCTTTTGGAACCATTGTTATGAACAGAAATAAAAAAAAAAAAAAAGAATATGAATAAAATGGTCAGCAAACACTTGGCGGCCACTAAGAGTAATAGTAACTGATTTCCAAAAGTGGAAATATTAATAGTAAGACCTTGGCTGCCAAAATGTCAAAAAGTAAAAAGTAAAAAACTGCTAAAATATATATTTTTAAACAGTTGGTCAATGCATAACGAAAATCACATGGTCCATTAATCTCAAGGGTCCTCTCCTTATTCTTCGTTATCCACCAGGCGTCAATTGTTCTTACCTTTCTGCTCATCCACCCTTTGCAAATTTTTACAATTTTTTCATCCTTTCTTTTTCCAAGAACATTGTTCATGGTATAAACAAAAGGTTTATTACCACGCATGTAGGGCAAAGGCAGGCTTTAGGGTGCAAAATCAATAAGCTTTAAAAGCCATGGAGGCAACAAATTCATTTACCAATGACTTGGAGCCTGAATACAGGGTAGATGGATCATGTTGGAAAGTCGTTCCAGTTACCTCAGAAGGATTCTTTAACGAGAAAGCTGATGATCATATTCTCAAACATCCTCTGATTCTTTTACAAATGCAATTAGCTATAATCATCAGCCTTGCCACCATCATACACCTCTTTCTTAAGCGCTGCTTTATGCCTCGTCTTATATCTGAAGTGCTGGTACTTTTTTTGGCCTTCCAGTTAGCTATATTTTAATCAATATATGGTCTTGCATGGTTTTAGGCTAACATTAATTTCCCAGGAGTAATTAGTTAAGAATGTTCTACATCGTTTAACAATATCTCCTTTTGTTTTGTTCCACAGCTAGAACGAACAATACCCTTTATTCTTGTTGTCATACACATTATATGTAGAAACCATAGAATAGATATGGATACTAGCTAACCTATATATCAAATTTCTAGCAACCTGTTCATTTCTTTTACACAAGGTCTATGAAAATTTGGTATTCACGTTAGAAGTGTTGCCAAAATTGTTCATTCTTTAAGTTTGTTAAGCCCATTTATTTGGTAGTTGTTTAACTGATTGAAGGACGTTTATATCTTGTGGAAATGCCAGGCAGGTCTAATTCTTGGACCAACTGTACTTGGAAGGTTCTTTCCTAAAATATCAGAGGTATTGTTCCCGCAGCAATCTATAAAAATCCTGTCTACATTGACACGCTTTGGGTACTTGTTTTTCATGTTTTTGATCGGTGTCAAGATGGATACAAGTCTGATCACAAAATCAGGAAAAAGAGAATTTACTATAGGCTCTATTGTCATTATATTCGCCCTAATCATTGTTGGCTTTGCTAATTGCATAAGTACAACGGTGGACAACATTGATAAACACTCTATGGAAATGGAATGGGTTAGAACTTTCTCAGGAGTACTAATGTTAACCTCATTTCCAGTGGTGGCTGTCTTTTAATGCATCTCAAGATTATTAACTCTGAGATTGGACAACTTGCTTTGTCATTAGCATTGATTAGTGACTTGCAAAGTGTAGTAATTATAAATTCCGTTTACTACGTAGAACTAATCGACTTGGCATCAATACGTGTAGCAGCGAAGTCAATGTTTCTTTGTAGGGTTCTTGTTATGTTTGTCATAAAGATTTTGCGTCCAATGATGTACTGGATCATCAGAAGAACACCTGAAGGAAAACCTGTCAAAGACGCTTACATTTTCTTTATTGTGATAGCACTACTAGTTGTAGCAGTAGTTGGTGACAATGTTGGACTTCAGTACATGTACGGGCCTTTTATATTAGGCCTGGCAGTGCCAACAGGACCTCCCTTAGCATCAACTCTGATAGGAAAATTGGACACCATGGTAACAGACACGATGCTGCCACTTATGTCAACTTATTGTGGATACAAATCCAATCTATGGGAATTGAACTTGTGGCCACCTGCTTGTGTAATTTTTTAATTACTTTAGGTTTCTTGCTGAAAACAACCTGTGGGTTTATTGCTGCGATATGTTTCAAAATGCCTTATAAGGATGCTATTGCACTTGCACTGATTTTGACCGCTAAAGGCATTATTGAATTGGGCACTTTTGCAACCAATGCTGACAGGCAGGTATATTGACAATCCCTTCAAAACACTCTTCTTTTTTTTAACTGCTAATTTCTTTTGGTCATATAAGACAAGACTACTAAACCTCTCTCTGTCTTTCTTTCTTAATTTCAGTCCATTGTTCCTGGACAATTCACCTTGGCTGTAGTAGTTGTATTCGTTTATGCAGCAGTCGTGCCAATACTTACCAGAAGGCTTTATGATCCATCAAAGACATACGCTGGTTACCAGAAAAGAACCGTATTAAACTGTCCTACAAATGAGGTTCTTCGAGTGCTAGCTTGTGCGCATAGAAAAGATGATGCATTATCAGCAGTCAAGCTATTTGAACTTTCAAATCGTACAACAGAAAGTCCCTTGTCTGTTTACGGGCTTAACTTGGAAGAACTTGTCGGTGGATCCACTCCTCTCCTCCTTAATCACCAATTAGGCCAAAGGACTTTTTCTGATGGAAATCGCTGGCAACCCATCATTGATGTTTTCAATTACTGTAAGTATCAAAATAAGAAACAGACCCAAGTTAATGTCTTCACGGCAATATCACCTCTCAAATTAATGAATGAAGATATTTCTTGGGTTACCTTCAGCAATTCAGTCGCATTAATAATACTTCCATTTCATAGGAAATGGAATTGCAAAGGAAAAATGATTTCAGATAGCAAAGGATTGAGGGCCTTGAATTGTGAAGTATTGAACAAATCCCCTTGTTCCGTAGGCATTCTAATTGATCGCAGCAGAACTCGTGGTCGATCATTCCTAGCAAATTCATTCGCATACAATGTATGTGTGATTTACTTAGGAGGCAAGGATGATAGAGAAGCTCTTGCTCTTGCACGAAGGATGGAAGGATGGATTTCTGTTTACGTAACTGTTGTTAGGCTCATGCTATCAGATGCTTGTCACCTACAAGGATGGGAGGCTATGTTAGATGATGAACGTTTGAGAGACATAAAACACCCAAGCCAAAATTTGGGTAATGTACAGTATAAGGAGGAGACAGTTAGAAATGGTGCGGATACATCTGTGCTTGTTGGATCACTATTGGAGGAAAACTATGATCTCATATTAGAGGGGCGACACTCACAATCAAAGTCACCTTTCCTAGAAGGTTTATCAGAATGGACTGATTTGCCAGAGCTAGGGCCAATTGGAGACCTACTAGCTTCTCCAGAAATCACTAACTCGGGTTCAGTCTTTGTAGTCCAACAACAAATAAATTGTTAATTATTATTATTATTAGTATGCGTAATTTCTCAAGGTCAAATAAATTCTTTAGCTTGGAAATTTGTTTTGAAAATTAAAATAGGAGCAGTTACACGAGTCAAAATGTAAAATATATCTCACATTAAACAAACGTCTTGTCAACAAAAAAAACAAAAGGATGTGGCTTGCCAACTTTGAAATGTCTGCAATTGAGGAGGGCAATGCTGGAATTAAGATGATTTCAACATTTCTGAGAAAAAAAAAAATAAAAAAAAAAAAAGCGAACCTTGATTCGTTACGTGTAAAATTGGGCGAGCCCAAACTTCTAAGCTAAGAAAGAAACTAATAATGAATTAATTAAATTAATAACTAAAGGTTCCACTTGCTTAGAATGAAAAATAAGGTCAAAAATAACTTTTTTTTCTCTTAACTTAATGATTAAGAGGTTAATTAAAAGTAATGTAAGACGTGAGTTTTATCTCGTCATTTTTTCTTTTTTTATAAGGGCATTAACACTTTTTTAAAATAAAATAATAATAATAATAAGGTAAAAAATTTTTCTTGAGAGCCGATAAAGTTCATAAAAATTAAATATTTTATTTATAAATTCATGAATGATTTATAAATTTAATATAAAATTATGATTTTTTTCCTAATTTTACACCGAATAAACCTCCATTTTAAACTTTTATATAAAAAAATAGTAAAAAATTGTAATTGAGGGAAGCCAAGATATTTACATTCCTATTATCTAAGGCCGGCTTGGGAAAGGCCTTTTCCGCCTTTTTGTTATTAACTAAAACCCAATTCTATTTTTAATCTATTGGATCAATAAAATTTGATAAAATTTTTTAACAAATTGATGTAGTAAGTTAAGAGACATTAACTTAATAAAAAATTTGTTAAAAATTATTTTACATTTTTACATATTTATTTAAATAATATAATTATTTATTATTTTACGCAAAATAAGTATGCTAAAGACTAATTTGTTATGATAGTTCTTATAAGAAATTTTTTAAAAAAGAATAATGAAATTAGAAATTACAATCATAAGCAACTATTATTTTCATATATATCACTAGTTTTTACAAGTATATTAAACATCGACAAACCAAGAATATCAATAAGTTTTTTTAATACAATCAATCGCATTGTCAAGTTTTATTTAAGTTTAATTCTCTCTATAAATAATTTTGAAGTTACACAACCTTAAATTCATTTGATATATTTTTGAAATATTTTTCACAAAATTTGAACCTAAATTATCAAAGAAAAAAAATCACTACAAATTGAACTAAATCCTAGGGTAAAAATATGGGCGTGCACTCCAGTAATAGTAACTAATTTCCAAAAATGAAAAAATAATAATATTTTTGTTAAGCAGTTTGGTCAATGCATAACGGAAATCACATGCTGCATTAATCTCAACGGCTCGTCTATCCGTATTCTTCTTACTTCTTCTCATCCACCCTCTTCATTTGTCTACAATTTTCTTGTCCTTTCTTTTGCAAGAACATTGTGTCCTGGCATAAACAAAAAAGTTCATCACCAGGCAAGGTGAAAAAATCAATAATGGAGCAGGCGGCAACTTCATCTACCACTGATTTGGAGCCTGAATACAGGGCAGATGGATCATGTTGGAAGTTGGTTCCAGTTATCTCAGACGGATTACTTAGCCAGAAAGCTGATGATAATATTTTTAGACATCCTTTGACTGTTTTGCTAACGCAAATAGCTATAATTTTCATCCTTGCTACCATCATACACCACTTTCTAAGGCGCTACCATTTGCCTCGTCTTATATCTGAAGTGCTGGTACCTTATTTATTTATTTATTTTTTGCATTGGTTAAGAATTTTAATTAATATTCTCTTACATGGTTTTACGTACCCTAAACTTTCCATCGGTAATTAGTTAAGAATGTTATACACAGATTAAGAATATCTGCTTCTTTTTTTTTTTTTTGTTCCATGGTTTGAGTAAATAATAAGTTTACCCTTTGCTCTTGTTGTGCATGTTCAAACATGGGGTTTAAATGATGTTGGAAGCCAAATATAATCGAATGGAGCTTTGATACACATTATATAGAGAATATGGAATATATATGGATTCTAGCAATCTGTTCATTTCTTTTACATAAGGTGTTATTGAAAATTTGGTATTAATCATTCTTTCTTTAAGTTTAATTATTAACTCCATTTATTTGGTAGTTGGATTTAGTAATTGAAGGATGTTTATATCTTGTGCAAATGGCAGGCAGGTCTAATTCTTGGACCAACTGTACTCGGACGGTTTTTTCCTAAAATGTCAAACACTTTGTTCCCCCAGCAATCTGTGAAAATCTTGGCTACATTGACAAGTTTTGGATACTTGTTTTTCATGTTTTTGATCGGAGTGAAGATGGATATAAATCTGATTATAAAATCAGGAAAAAGAGACTGGACTATAGGCTCTATTGTCATTATGTTCCCCCTTCTAATCATTGTTCCCGTGGCTAGATACATAGCCGCAAATGTGGACAACATGGATAAACTGTCCATGAATTGGGTGGCATTTTTCTCAGGAGTAGTAATGCTAACCTCATTTCCAGTGGTGGCCAGCCTTTTAATGCATCTCAAGATCATTAACTCTGAGTTGGGACATGTTGCTTTGGCATCAGCATTGATTAGTGACTTGATAAGTGTAGTAATGATAAATTCGAACGCCTACGTGCTACTTTACAGATTTGCATCATTACGGGTAGCAATCAAGTCTATGTTCCTTTGTGTCGCTCTTGTTATGGTTGTCATAAAGATTTTGCGTCCAATGACGTTCTGGATCATCAGAAGAACACCTGAAGGAAAGCCTGTCAAAGATGCTTACATTTTCCTTCTTGTGATAGTACTAGTACTTGTAACAATAGTTGGTGATGATGTTGGACTTCAGTACATGTACGGGCCTTTTATACTAGGCTTGACAGTTCCAACAGGACCTCCGTTGGCTTCAACTCTGATAGAAAAATTAGATACCGTGGTAACAGACGTGATGCTGCCACTTATGTCAACTTATTGTGGATACAGATCCAATCTATGGGAATTGAACAGGCGGCCACCTGCTTTTCTTATTTTTATAATTACTTTTGGTTTCTTGCTGAAAGTTAGCTGTGGGTTTTTTCCGGCAATTTGTTTCAAAATGCCTTGTAAGGATGCTACTGCGCTTGCGTTGATGTTGACGGCCAAAGGCATTATTGAATTAGGCACTTTTGCAACCAATGCTGAAAAGGTGGTATTGATTTAGAATCCCTTCAAAGCACTTTATAACTTCTCTTTTCTTTTGGTCATAATTAAGACAAAGACTACTAAATCTCTGATCTCTTTCTTAATTTCAGTACTCCATTGTTCCTGGACAATTCACCTATGCTGTAGTGGTTATACTCGTTTGTGCAGCAGTCGTGCCAATACTTATCAGAAAGCTTTATGATCCATCAATCACATACGCTGGTTACCAGAAAAGAACCGTATTAAACTGTCCTGCAAATGAGGGTCTTCGGGTGCTAGCTTGTGCACATGGGCAAGATGATGCATTGTCAGCAATCAAGCTGCTTGAACTTTCAAATCCTACTACAGGAAGTCCCTTGTCTGTTTACGGACTTTGCTTGGAAGGACTTGTCGGTGGATCCACACCCCTCCTCCTCAATCACCAGTTAGGCCAGAAGAGTTCTTCTGATGGATCTCGCTGGCAACCCATCATTGATGTTTTCAATTACTTTAAGTCGGAAACTAAGAAACAAGCCCAAGTGCAAGTCTTCACAGCAATATCACTTCCCAAATTAATGCATGAAGACATTTCTTGGGTTGCCTTTGACAATTCAGTAGCATTAATACTACTTCCATTTCATAGGAAATGGAATTTCAAAGGAAAAATGATTTCAGATAACAAAGATTTGAGGGCCTTGAATTGTAAAGTATTGAACAAGGCCCCTTGTTCTGTAGGCATTCTAATTGATCGCAGCAGAAATCGTGGTCCATCATTCTTAGCAAATTCATCCATATATCGTGTGTGTGTGATTTACTTGGGAGGAAAGGATGATAGAGAAGCTCTTGCTCTTGCAGGAAGGATGAGAGGATGGCCTTTTGTTTACATAACTGTTGTTAGGGTAATGTTATCAAATGCTTGTCCCATGCAAGGATGGGAGGTTATGTTAGATGATGAGTGTTTGAGAGACATAAAACACCCAAGCCAAAAAAATGCTAATGTATTTTATGAGGAGGAGACAGTTAGAGATGGTATGGATACATCTGTGCTTGTTGGATCACTATTGGACGAAAACTATGATCTTATCTTAGTTGGGCGGCATTCTCAATCTAACTCACCAGTCCTAGCAGGTCTATCAGAATGGACTGATTTGCCAGAGCTAGGGCCAATTGGAGACCTGCTAGCTTCTTCAGAAATCACTAACCCAATTTCTGTCTGTGTGGTTCAACAGCAGATCACTAAGTGAGTGCTTGCTCTTTTTCTGTCATAGCTTTGAAATTGACGGGCTGCATTCCTTCACCAGGTAAGAAATTTAAAAAATTGCATTTACAAAGTCTTTTGAATGCTTTTTACTCTAACCATTTCACTTCTCCCCTGCTAGATATATATATACATATATATATATATATATATATTTTGCTCACAGGTCCCTGCTAATGCAAATATCATGCGTACGAATGGGCAAGAAATTGAAAATGTGTACTCTTCTGATGCCTGTTCTAGCAACAAGACCAGGAAATTAAGAAGAAGATAAATGCAAGTCCTAATATAACTTTCATCATAAGGAAAAGGACAAAGGGATTCTGATTGCAAGTTACAACATTAGCATCTTCATTTAGAGATTGCTTCAAAAAAGAATTTTCAACTTGTTAATTAATGCTCCCTGTATTTTCCATAAACTGCCAATCAGAAATCACTAAGATTGTTATGTATATGCATCAATTCATATATTGGACCTTCGGATGAGAAATTTTAAATTTTTGAAAAAAATGTGCAATAAAGACATTTTAAAATTCCTTATTTCTGAATACTAACATTTGTAATTTTTTTTTTTGGATAAATATTTTTTAAAATGATATATAACAATCTATTGGAATTTGATGAGATTAAAAAAAGAATAATGGTATTAATTATAAAATATAAGAAAATTTTGTAAAAATGTATAGATATTTCATACTTTCAGATTTCAGAGCTTTGTGCATAATCACTATATTTGCCTTGTCTGTTGGCTTTGCTTTGTATCAGGATATTCACACCCTTTCAAGCTAGTTAACTACAGTTTTACAATGAAAAATTAATATAGTAAATAAAATATTCCAACCATAAAAAAGAAAAAAGATGAAGAAAATGATGTGTTTGAACCTATATCTGTTTTTAAACCAACCTCCAGTCATGGGTTGAGGGATATATGACCATATCTTTATTCATTACTTTTTTGAACCTAAAAAACTCCTCTATATATAGGGTCAAGATCAAAGCATTTTCTTCACAAGGAAAAGGAAAATGAGGATAGAAGAATAAACCCAAACAGGTCAATTAATTTGAATTAATAACTATATATATATATATATAAAAGAATAAAATGAAATAACTTGATAGTATAAATTTTACTTAGATGCTGAATAGCTGAAATTTTGTTACTCATCTATTGATATACATGCTTTATTTCTTGCTGGACAACTCAGGTGACAGAACGTGTGAATCTACCAACTATTTCTAAAGGGTCTAAAATGCCAAGAAAATGAAATTGCTTCAAAGAATATATTATTTCTGTCCCTCAATTAACATGTGCTTGTAGTCCATAATTAAAGTTAATTATTATGTTATTTTAAGAAAAGGGTTTTTTTTTTTTTTTTTTTTTTATCTAATGCATTGCTCTTACCAAATTTAAAAAGGATAATAATATATATATTTTTTATATTTAAAACTATTAGGATTAAATAAGAACTGCAAATCCATAGCCTTTAGATCACAAAGTCTTTTTATATATAGAAAAGCAATTACTAAATTCTTTACAAAATTTTAACTTGTGTTTATAGGCTCTATTAACTATTAAGTAGTATTATTTTCTTTTCCAACTAAGACAGAGAGAGGTGATTAAAAGACTTTCTCACCTGTTTGCAAAGAATATTTTGTATTTGATTTAGTGATTAAGGAAGTTTTACGAGGATATAGAAATAGAGTTAAAATTCCCTTCTCTTTTCTTTCTTGTAAGAGCTATGCCTCTCCAAACCAATATATACATATATTTTGTACGAAAGAATCTCTTAGAGATATTGTTTAACAAGAGATTGATGATAAATTATATTTAGTGAACCATTTCCTTATAACAACGCCCAAATTATTTTTTCTGTCTCGAAATCAATGTTTTTATTTAAATTGATTCAACTTTGATAATTATTTTAATGAAATTATAAATTTTTAAAAGAATAAAATTTATAAATTTTGAATTTCAAAATTTTCAAAGTATATTTTTAAAACATAAATATTAACTTATATTAATATAAAACTAAAAAATTTTATGTATTTTTTACTTATTAATTTTATTAAATTTAAAAGATGAGATTACTAATTATTTATTTATTTATCTCTTTAATCAGTTAAATTTATTGAAATCAATGATAAAAAATGTAAAAAATTTTAATTTTACGTTTATTTTTAAATTTTAATTTAATATAATATTTTAAAAAATAAGTCAAAATTGATGAGTTGATTTGATAAAAAAAAAAAAAATGAACAGGAGAACTATTCTGAGGCGGAGAGCAATATTCGGAAGTCCAAAATATGAGGTTGGCCTTTCATTCTCTCTGTCTCCCTCTTCCATCTCTTCCCCTACCTACTCTTGCCTTTGCCTCTAGATTTTTGCTGTCCATTTTATTTTTTTTAGTTTTGTTGTTTCCATTTTTTTCATCCGAATTTGTTGTCGATTTCTTGATCAAGAAGCAATTACGTCAAGCAATAACCAATATGGCAACAAGTTCATCCAGGGTGCAACATGATTCATTGATGGCTGGAAAAAACATAAGCATTATTTGCACAAATACGTCCCTTAGCAGCCCCTATTCCAATAATATCTGGCAAAATGGTAACCCTCTCAAGCACACTACGTCTCTTCTCTTGTTTCAGCTCTCTGGCATTTCAACGGTCTCAATACTTTTCAATATTTGTCTCAAGCCTTTAGGACAATCATCCTTAGTATCGCAGATTTTTGTAAGTCTTCGTCCTTCTTATTCTCATCTTCATTTTCAATTTAACATTAAAGGATCACTTTACCACTAATGTGATTCTCAGGGTGGAATGATATTTGGGCCATCATTTATTGGCCACAACAGACAAATAGCAGACAACCTTTTCCCGAAAACAAGCTCCACGGTAATCAACATATTTGCAGGATTTGGCATAATTTTCTTCCTCTTTGTAACTGGGGTAAAGACGGATCCTGTCCTCATGGTGCGGCCAGGACGAAAGGCTGCTATTATAGGTTCTTCAGCCCTCATTGTTACGTCGGTTTCTTCCATTGCGCTCGCTTTGGTCTTAAAGAAGTTCCTCACCATGAATGCCAACCTTGAGAACTCGTTAGTGCTTATAGCTTTATCACAATGTTTAACAGGTTTTCCAGTAATTTCAACGCTGTTATCCGAGCTCAATATTCTCAACACTGATATTGGCCAGTTAGCCCTCGCCTCGTCAATGTTTTGCGATTTAATTGGTATTTGTATGGTTGCAGTTCTTTTCTCATTGAAACAAAGTGAGTCTGGTGTTGTCTTCGGCTTATTACCATCACTAGTGTCTATAGTTGCATTTGTGGCCTCTAATTTTTTAATTCTTCGACCAAGATTAGTAAAGATGTTCGACCCTACACTGGGAACAAAAATCGTTGATGAGAAGAGCATATCATTCATTTTCACTTTAGTCCTGGTAGCCTCATTTCTGAGTGAGGTAATTGGCCAGCACTACATATTTGGACCATTAATTTTAGGTCTGGCTGTGCCTGAAGGACCTCCCTTAGGAGCTGCTATATCATCAAGGCTAGATACTCTTGCGACAACATTTTTCTATCCTGCTTACTGCGCGGTCAGCGGGGTGAAAACTGATATCTTCACAATTAATTTTCAATCTTTGTATATTGTGGGGATCGTTGTTGTCTTTGCTTTCGTGATCAAGCTTATAGCAGTGATGCTGCCAGCTCTCTGTTTCAGTGTGCCCCTGAGAGAAGCTTTTGTGCTTGGACTCGTTCTAAATGCAAGAGGCATTGTCGAACTTACTGTATACAACCTCTGGAAGGATGACCAGGTTAGTTATATATAGAGCTTTTCAATTTTTTCTTTCCAGCTGGATTTTCATGACTAATCAATGGCATAATGATATATAACAACATTTGTGTCCAAATTAATCTTCTCAATTTCTCCTACCTAAATTAATGCTCATTCCAATGGCAGCTGATGGAGGATCAAGAATTTACCTTGGTCATGATGTCAGTAGTGATCGTGACGGCAGCCATAACCCCAATGATACGAACACTGTACGATCCTTCAAAGCAATATCGTTCGGTGACGAGAAGTACCATCCATAATTCCAAGCGTGATTTAGAGTTTCGAATCCTGGTTTGCATCCACAACCATGAAAATGTCCCAACAATTATGAACGTCCTTGAAGCATCCCCCGCGAATGAAGAGAGCTACATTGCTGTCACAGCTATGGTCCTCATAGAACTTGTGGGGAGATCCACCCCTGTTCTTGCACCTAGCCAACCAAGAATGTTTCGAAAAAACTCATCAACAGCAGACCGAGTATTCAATGCCCTGAGTAAATACGAGGAACGCAACGAAGGCTACGCTTACGTTCAATCATATACCTCAATCTCACATTTCCAGACAATGCACAATGATATCTGTCGTATAGCCCTTGAGAAGCGTGCCAACATTGTCATCGTCCCTTTTCACAAGCAATGGGGTATCCATGGACAGATTGAGTTCACAAGACGCCCCATACAAAACTTGAACATGAATGTCCTGGAAAAGGTTCCATGTTCAGTTGGAATCCTTGTTGACAGGGGAATGTTCGTTTCCGTTCGAACTTCTCGAACAAAATTCCGTGTCGCTGTTCTCTTCATCGGCGGCCCTGATGACATGGAATCACTAGCTTATGGCTGTCGAATGGTCAAACATCAAAATGTTAATCTAACTGTCATTCATTTCCTTCTGTTCGGAGGGGAAAACTCTAAAGAAAGGAAGCATGACACCCAGCTGATTAATGAATATCGGCAAGCTAACAGGGGAAATGAAAGTTTTGTGTATGTAGAAGAGGTGTTTAGGGATGGGGAAGGGCTATTTTCATATATTAGTGGAACTCTAAACAATTATCATTTGATCTTGGTAGGGAGATACCATCCGAATTCCCCACTTCTCGAAGGACTTGGAGACTGGAGTGAATGCCCAGAGCTTGGGATCGTTGGTGATATGCTTGCTTCACCAGATTTGAAAACCAAAGCGACAGTGTTAGTGATTCAACAACAACGAATAGGAGGGAAATTGCTGACTCAAAATCTTCCAATTTCGGTGCCGTAAAGGAATTCAGTTGTTCCTGAAGAATTGCAAACGCCAAACGTCAATGATGCATCAGGGCAGCAGGAATAATTCATTTTCTATTTCAATGGATGAACTGGATACGTATTTAGATCGGTTTTCAGGCAGATGGAAATTACAGATTCTAATTGTCATGCCCCGAATAGAGGCATAACACGGTCATATTACCTTGAAGTAAAACCCCAAAGCAATACGAAGCTTAATCCATAACCATTGAACAACTCTCAAATATAAAAAGTTCTAATTAAGTAACATAGCTAGATACAAGTCTCTAAAGGTTCAAAGTCGAGTATTACAACTAAAATAAACAATACTTCATAAAATCCTATATTTTTAAGTAGTTCTCCAATGCTCGATTCTTCTAGCTTTTCTCAAGCTAATCATACTTATCATTCATAACATCTATTCATAACATCTGTAAAAGAAAAGAAAATAGGGAATGAACAAACCACAGCTCAGTAAATAAAGACTCACACACCTTACCGGATCAAACATCGTTTCATATATGTCATATAGATCATTCAAAACATTTGTCAAATCATAATGTCAAAACATCTCAATATCATTGTTCTGTCAAATATTTCGTAAATTCATAAATCATTATAAAATATGTTACTATTCAAATATCGTAATCAAACCAAATCATGAATCAATCATTAAAAATCATCGTAAATCATCATTATCATAAATCATCATTATCATTCAAATCGTTAGCTACGATCACTGCTATAACCCGTGACATTGGCCGTATCGACAATTTCATTCTTATGATCATTGCTAACTATTATAACCCGTTAGCTAGAGCCTACGCTAACTACTATTACCCATTAGCTAGGGTTGTATGATCATGTCTTTGCTAACTACTATTACTCGTCAACCAAGGTCGTAGAACTAGTTCTAGTGTCGATGATCCACTTCCTAGGGATGTAAAAACGTAACGATCATAAAATTATTCTTTAAACATAAATCATTTTCTCATTTCATTTATAAGCATGATCCATCGTTTATATAAAGAAACACAAAATAATCATATGTTTGATCCTATTTTCATACATTGAAAAAAATGAAATAAAATATTCATTCAATTAGAAATATACATATATACATAGTTTCGAAAACAAGCAAAGTGTGTGAGATTCTACTTACCTTCTTCTGATTCCACCACCTAATTTTTCTCCCTCAAAATTTAGTGGCTTATTCAAGATAATTCCAACATAACAATAATTAATCAACCCATTTGAGGCCACTTATACCAAAATAATTAAGTTAAACAAGTAATAACTCGAGTAATTAATTCTGACAGTCTGCGCTACTTTCACTAAAACGACCATAACTTAAGATATCCAATTCGGAATTAAAATCTTTTTAATGCGTTAGAAACTAGACTTGACAAACTTTCTAATCATTTATGGCCATCTCATGATTCTTTGTGGATTAATTATAACAATTTTTGTAATCCACGTCATATGCTGCTGCCAGACAGCCTGTATACCTTTTCATAAAAATTACGTATTTATTCATAGGTAACTCCAAATTCAATTCCGCTTATTTCATTGGAAAGTAGACTCAATAAGCTTTCCGAACATATATGACTTAATCTGTAAATCCTTGTATAAAAATTAAGAGAAATTTCGTAATTCTTCCTTACTGCTGCTGCTAGGCAGCCTGCACATCCTTAGGTAAAAATTGGATAACTCTTCATAGAGAACTCGAATTCGACTCCCGTTTGTTTCATTAGAAAGTAGATTCAACATGTTTTTCAAACATATATAATAATCATAGCAGTATTTAACCGTTTAATACAGAATATAACCTTAATTCATCACTACAAACATAAAATTCATATTATAATTTATACGAAACAAAGATTTTCCTTTCTATTCCAATCAAATTTCTGTTTCAGCAATAAATTCACATTACCAACTTTCTCAACACTTAATGTGACCCTAATTAAAGTCCAAATCATCTGCCCAAAGTGGGATAGTGGAAACCCTAAAATTTTAGGGTTTCTCAATTATAAATTACATCTTAAGACTTAATCATCAATACTCCAAAATTGAAAGAGATTATTTACTCATCTCTAACAGATAATTTTTTCTTGTAGATTTGTTCTTTCCCTTCACTTGAAATCCTTCAATTGATCTTTTCTGTATAAGAAATATATGAGAAATAAGTTTATATTTTTCTTTCGATTAATAGTCAACTGAAAACTGAAAAGTTAATTCTATTAATAAAAAATTGAGTTATTTATCAATAAAATTTTTGTACTTTTCATTCTTTATTAAAGAGTCCCCACTTATAAAAATACTTAAAAATAGTCTTTTTTTTTTTTTTTTTTTACGAGTATTACACTAATTTTCTCCCTTGTTTTGATTGCTTTACCGTCATTTTTTTATATCACCAACCATTAGCCATAGCTGAGTAGGACAGCTTAGCGTTTTACATATCAGCGAGTTATTTTTTTACAGCTTATTGAAAATTGTAAGACTCAAGCAAGTGCAATAGTTGATGTATATAGTTCATTTTGATCAACTGTAAATTAAATTGTAAGATTTTATAAATCCAATTAAATTGTAGGACTTGTCAATTTAATTAGATAATATATATATATATATATATATATATATTCCAGCTTCCAAATATATATTTTCTGAGTGCCATCTCAAAACAATATACACATAAGAGAAAACCTCTTACGTATATATGCAGGAGATTAACAGCATTCTTCTAAAACTCAAAACTTGAAAGTATTTTCAGGTCAGACAATCCCAATCCCAATCCCAATCCAAACCCAAATTTTACTTTTGCCCACATTCCAACCAACCTAATCCCCAAAGGAGAAATGTTGACATGAGTGAGAGATGGGCTACCAAGCCCATAATGATCTTCATCGAGTTCTGTTATGTTTCTAGCAAACCCAAGAACTAGAAGTCTAGAACAGGCATGTTGACATTAGATACCTGATCCAAAGACAATTTAATTAAGAAAGAAAGTTGAGACGGACAGGGATAGGAAAAGCAAAGAACAGAAAATTCGTGGCCATCTTAATAGATGTCAGTCATCTTGGTGTTTGATGTTCCGGTTTTTTGTACATCATCCTATGAGTACGAAGGATGTTACTATCAATCAGAAAATTTCTTTGTTTTATGTCCAGAAGAATTCCAGGCATTTCCCATGTCTTCAAGTTTGAAAAGAAACAATAATTCTGCTTAAACATCTTTTATATCACTCTTTGACATCAAAATTTGACAAATATGTGCCAACTAGCTTTCTTCTCATTAGTTGGATTATGAAGATACAGTCAAAAGTATTTAATCCGTTATGAAGATATGACCAAATAATCCAAAGTTGTGGGTTTCTTAGATGTGACCAACTCCCCAAGGAGCAACTAGAAAGCAATTTTTTAATACTTCCAACTCACCCATGAGTACAATTTTCCTTTTAGGTAAATCCCACATAGAGTTGTTATGGGTAGGATCAGGTCATTCGAGTTCCAATGACAGTTCAAAAATCTTGATCAATGCTTGGTTTACTCTATCCACTCAAACTTGATTCAATAATATCAAAATACTAAAAATTATTTAAACATTTTTATTAATAAAATAATAATTCAAATCGAATTTAATTTTGACTTAAAATTTTTAATTCAAGCTCTATTAAATCCCTTAATATAATTTATTTGTTTGATGATGATTGCTTAATTAAATACCACAATTTTATTATGGGTGATTAATAGATTGATTGAATAGAAAGAACCAATCAACGATGGGTCGTATAGTTACATTTTTAGGAAGTTCCCATTATGTTTTTCCAACAACAATAGTTGTTAGCTTTCAAGATTCTTCATTAGCAAATCCTGTTACCATTGAAGAAAACCACATTTTATTTTAGGACAAGTTACCCTCAGTCTTCCACTTCTACCCTACTTTCCCTTTTCCCATGATTTTTTTTTTAATTTATCCTTTCAATTTCTGGAATAAAAATATTCTTCTCAGGCTTCAACCGCGTAAAATTCTTATCAAACTAAACATAATCCAGAAAAGTCAAGTCACCGTCAAAACACACGGCGTGCATATTTGCAGGCACCCACACGCTTGCTTAACCGGCTGACTCTCCTCTTCTTCTTTCTCTGACGTCTAATTCTCTATATATAAATGACTAATTCCAATACCCTTAGTTCCCATCTCCAAAATTCAAATCATAACCGTTCACATTTGATGGTTTCCCGTTTCCAGCATTTATTTACTCAATCACTCCAGTCTTACAAATATAATATGGAAATCAGTTGTTTCCCATTTCTGGGTCCTGAAGATTGTTATAATGCCAGCATCCCCCGGTTCCAGGAGCTTGACAATGGGTTCAACAAAAAGCGTAAAAAGGAAGACGATTCCAGGGGCGGGGGCGGCATTGGCAATGGAGTCTTCAATGAAGAAGAATTGAAGAAGAGTGGATTTCGAGTTATCCTTGCCTGTTGTTGTTATTAGAAGAAGAAGCAAAGCAAGAGGAAACTCAGTGGATAACTGAATCCCTACAGGGCGAAGCTTTGTTTGAATCCAATCATAAAAGAAAAGTTCAAGCAATGAATGAAAAAGAATACTATGTTGAGGGATGTAATCCCGGTTCGACAGCAAGTTGCTGTTTGTATTTGGAGGTTGGCTACAGGGGAGCCACTTAGGCTGGTTTCGAAGCGTTTCGGATTGGGAATTTCAACTTGCCAGAAGGTAGTATTGGAGGTATGTTCAGCTATAAAAACTGTTTTGATGCCCAAGTTTCTTCAATGGCCTGATGAAAAGAAATGAAAGAAATTAAACAAGAATTCGAGTCGATAACTGGGATTCCTAACGTAGGTGGTCCAATGTACACAAATCATGTTCCAATTATTGCACGCAAGGTTAGTGTAGCTGCTTACTTCAATAGAAGGCATACGGAGAGGAATCAGAAGACTTCTTATTCGATTACAGTACAAGGTGTAGTCGATCAAAAAGGGATTTTTACCGATGCTTGTATTGGGTGGCCTGGATCAATGGTGGATGACCGGGTGTTAGAGAAGTCTGCTTTGTACCAGAAAGCTAATAAGGGGGGTTTGAAGGATGTTTGGATTGTTGGGAATTCTGGGTACCCGCTGGTGGATTGGATTTTGGTTCCTTATACACACCAGAATTTGACTTGGGCTCAGCATGGTTTTAATGAAAATATTGGTGAGATTCGTAACGTTGCAAAGGCGGCATATGCGAGATTAGAAGGTAGTTGGTCTTGCTTGCACAAGAGAATTGAGGTGAAGCTTCAGGACTGGCCAATGGTGCTTGGTGCTTGCTGTGTTTTGCATGACATTCGTGAGAAGAGCAACGAGTAGATGGACCCTGAACTACAGTTCGAACTTTTTGATGATGAGATGATACCTGAGAATAACTTGAGGTCTGCCAATGCAGTCCTTTCCGGGGATCACATTGCTCACAATCTGTTACACCATGGCCCTGGGGTAACTAGTTTTCTTTAGTCGATGTAAAAACATGTCCAGAGGTGAAACCAGAAATACGAGAAAAAAAGAGCCAAATAATAATTATATTAGAAAAGGTGTGACCAAATATTATTTTTGATGGGAGGAGGTATTCGACTACAATGATGTAAAAAACTTTGGGGGGTCATGGCCCCTGCCAGCCCCCCTAGCTACGCCTCAGATACATGTCTCCTATATATGTTGGTATTTTTCAGAGCAAATTATTTTCACTAGCTAGCTAGATGAATGTAAAATCTTGCCACAAAATATAATTGTGTAACTGTAGAAAATTATAATCGTTGCGTGTATTTTTACTGTCACATAAGGCACAAAGTTGTTTGCAAGGACAACCTCAATTATGTTTTCCAACAAAATGATTCTCTCTGAGCGAAAAATGTCTAAAAGCTTAGTATACAAAAAATTTAACTAACAATTGATAGGCCTCTCCTCAATCTATAATGTGCTTACACAATTATTCCATGATTTTTTGAGAATTCAACTGACTAGCAACATCGAGTACAGATCACCAGCCACACATACATTTTGTGATAGCGCCCAGGCACCAGGATCAAAAGATGGAGCAAATGAAAGGACGTTGTAAAAACAAAATACAAACCTTAGGACTTTGTGACCATTATCTCTGCAAAAATACCATAGGTATGAGAGACAGATCACTCCATGGGATGGAATGATGGCAGGACTGCAATAATAGGGTCTCCATAACCAACAGAATCTGTGCAACATAGTCAAAACAGAGTTCATATGTATCAAACTTTTTGTCTAACCATCCAGAATATTTCAAGAATAAAAGCAATTTTTATAATAGTCCAGGTTTAGGTTTATGCTTCTTGGGCATCACCCATTGTTTCCTATAATGCAAATCAACTTTAATCTAGTCCCCAGTAATTATGCATGTGGCATTGCATCAAACCAGAACCCCATAGAACTTACCCACTATAATGCGGCTCTAGACATTAAGATGCAAAAATAAATATGAAATGCCAGATAAAGCTATACCTCCATCATCGAAGAGGAGCTTTAAGACTTCTCCAGCAATATCTGACTGCTCAACAAATCAATAACTTAGAGTCACACACCATTAAACACCTATTTAAAAAGAAAAACTATAACCAACAAATGGAAATAATTTGATTTCACCTTAACAGGATGTTCAGTACCAAATTGATCCAAGTATCCTATAACTTGTCCTTCTCTGATCAAATCACCCTGCAAGTATTTTTTATAGCAACTTACGAGGATCAAAAAATGCCAGCCGAAGTTACAAGGTCATGATAATAAGAAATCAATAGCATCCACATTATTTGTCATCAAAGAACGTTTGGGCTTATAATATAACAATTCAGACAGAAATTAATACCTCCTCAAAGATCGGAGGTTGCTGCTTTCCTTTAACTGTTCTACCCCTTCGGAATGTGCCAACCTGCAGTCAAGTGATGGTAGTTAAAGGTGTTCCAAAGAAATATAAAAGAGAACATAACCCTTGCTCTTGATAAACAGCACATACAATGGGAGAAGGTAGTAGAACATAGTTGTTAGCTCCAGAAGCTTCCAAGGCAGCTAACTTGGATGACTTCCCAAAGGCAACATTTATAAATGGGGTAGGCTTCTCTGGGGAGGGTTGAGGTGGTGAAGGAGGTTCGGTAGCAGCAACTGATTCATTCATTGGTTTAGATAGGAATGGTGGAGCTGTTGTAGGTGAAATGTTGGACAAAGAAGCATTTATGGCACCAACATTCCGCTTCAGATGCATTTCAAAGTTTCCAATCTATCACAAAGCAACAGATAACCAATTAGAAAATATGGTAGGAAAATGCAACATCCAAATAAGAATCTAAAAGAACCTGCTTATGGTTAGCTGCATTACATTCATTCAATGATCAAATAATTGAAATGAAAGGTTTCATCACTTGTGATTTTCACAAAGCGCTGAGACATATCTCTAAATAAAATTTTCAGGTTAATCATTGAGTTGTGACTAATTTAGCAGAAGCATGCAAGTATATCAGATGACAAGAGAAAAGGAAGTAACCTTCATTTTCAGCTCAGCAACCTCAGTCTCATCACATACCTCCAATACCAATGCCTGACAGTTTAAGCAATTAAAATGTTAATTATCCAGCAAATTTGAATCAGAAGAAAGAAATTTGTCTTCGATCAATATGAAAGGAGCAAAAGGTACGGTGAATGAATAACCATAAGAAAATAAGTCAAAAGAAGACTTATCATGAAGAAAACAGCCACAAACATGGTAAAAACTACACAACAGCAACATAAAGACAGGATTAAGCATTCCAAATACAGAATATTAGATATACACAAAACTAGATTAGTAGATTTTGAAGGCATTTGAAGTATTGCCTCAAAGGTGGTGTTCCTGTTAAGGTTTAAAAAGTAGAATACTTTATGTCAGTATTGCTGTCAGAAATTTTGTTAAACTCCTCCATATAGGGAATAAGAGAATAAGGTTCAAAACAAACTAGCATTATTACAAAGAGGCAGATACAAATATTAAGCCAATCATGTTGTTTAGATTGTAAGAAACAACGACTAACCAACTTGAGAACATAAATGCAATTATAAAAAAGGAAAATATTTATAAATAATTTTTATAGCACCAATAAACTTTTCTAAAAAGGAAGTGAGGAATGACAAGCAAGAATCAAAAAGACATTCAATTTGAAGATTTAATAATCACCTCAAATCCATTTGGAAAAGTTGCATTCCGTGAAGTTTTCTTCTCCAATGAGCCTTGTGTGGTGCTATCTGATGGAACCGTGCCATAATTATCAACTTTTAGGATGCAAAACAGACAAAATGCTCAGGTAATGTAGTTACATAACAGATTACTTTTAGAAACCATTTTGCTTTTGTTATTAAAAAAAGCGATTTAGCTTTCTACTATCAGTATAAATCAGTAATAAATGAAGGGCCATTTCAAAACAGAAGGAAAGCCCAAATGCAACAGTGATAGGTATATTTTAGCACAGTGTCCTGGTTAAATTTGCAGTTAGACTATGATTAACAAATTTATGCAAATGAGGACCATCAGGTAAATTTTTAATCTGAAGTCAATATAAACTCACCATTTGACTTGGCTGTTACAGTAGCTTCAGGTGTCTTCATGCATGATATTAGAGTTACATTTCTTTTTGTAGAAGAATTGTTCTTCCTGCCAAACATCAAGCCTGGGACACATGATTTTATTGAAGTGGGCCAGCTGCCAGAATACATATGAACAGCACCAGCCCTTTCAAGTGAGCAATGTGCTTGTGAAACAGCACCTACAGAATCTAAAATTTTAAGAAGAGCATATGAGCTTTCAATGGCAAATAAAACCATATATGCAAAACTTAAATTCATAAAATTACATACTCACAACCATACTTTGCTAATGTAAAGAATTTCAAAAACTAAATGATAAGACAAACAAGTACCATATAAGCCAACAGCAGATCATGTTATTTGTAACAAGGACATGACAAAATATACATAATAGAACGATTTTACAAAGTATCTCAACTAAAAAACTCCTAAAACCAAGGAATAAAACATTCATAATGCTGAAACTGTTCAAAATCCATTGATTCTGTTGTGTGACGGTTAGAGGAATCACTATGTATTGATTAGGCACCTTCTTGTTCTCTTAAAGTTTTTCCTTTCTTCATCTAGGGAGGGCATTAGGCAATTGAAGAGCTTAAATTTTCTATAAAGCATTTATAACATGAGCTTAAACATTAAACCTCATCATTCCACTGCACAAGCAATCAATGAAGGAGCTCATTTCTTAATTTTCCAAGCCAAATCTCCCAAAATTTGGAAAAACATTTAGAATAAGATAAAATGCCAATCTTATAATTATACCTAAATAAAGAAACTGAACAATAAGACATTTCTAGAAGAACTCCCAAAATTAGCTTCCCTACAAATTCCAAAAGCTATCTTTTTTTTGGTTTGAGTATTGGTTATTGGTGAATGAACTTAGCATGATCTGAAAAATCGAAACTTCTATACAAAATAATATTTTAACAGTAAAATCTCTATTTTTATGAAAACTAGATTCAAATAGTAAGCTAGCTTAAACATGATCAAATGATATTCACAACATAAAAGAAAGAAGTAAATTGAAAAAACTAATGGCAGATCATTGCATTTCTTTTAGCTAATTTCAAATTTGTCAAAGTCTAAAGCTCTATAATTCACACTAAATTGTCAAAACTTACAAAAAAAAAAAAAGATAATTACAAGATCCGAAGCAGATATAAAGCTTTGCTCTCTTTATCCTTTGCTTTGTCTCTTCGTTTCCAACAAAACCAAACGAAACTCAACCAAACAACAGAAATAAACATAACGACAGAAAATACGAGAGAGAGAGTTACAGTGGAAGGATCGGAGAACAGCGGATGACTCCATTGGAAGAGGAAGAGCAAATTAGAACCGACAATGAGGAAGGAGCGAGAGAGAGCGAGAGAGGAGATATAGTGGAAAAAGTTGGGGCAAAATCGAGAAGAAAAAAAATGAATATATTAGAGAGAGGGGTTTGGTTAGCTAGACAGTTGGCGAAAGAGTGTAATTAGAGAGAGCAGCTTCGAAATGTCCGTCCTTGTCCTCAGTTTCTCAACCCAAGCTGAAAGCTCCTCTCACTCTTTCTCTCTCTCTCCCTCTCTCTCTCTTTCTTAGCTTGAAAACTCTGCACCGCTCTAACGTGCACTGGCGGTGTTAGCCACCTCGAGATTACGTGGCAGCAAATTTGAAATTTTATATAGGTCCAGTGAGAAGTGACTAAGCCCAATCAGTTTGGACTAGCCCAATACCTCTGTTTGCCAATCAATTGTTGAGACAAAACTTTGGCCCAATTATTCTGTTTTTATTAGCCCGAAAGGTAACTGAACCCATTGATAGAAGTCTTGATTTTTCTTTTTTTTAATCCGAAAAGAAGCCATGCATATATTAAGACGTAGATCGGTACGCAAAAGCTAGGAATGGCAGCCCAACTCCTTACCGATAGATTTCGACATTATTTGATTTTTTAATATCAATTTTTTTTAAAAAAAAATCAGGTTTTAGATTTGTTTAAATCAAATAATAATAAAAAAAATTTGAAATTGAATTTTAGATAAATCTATCTTGTCTCAACTTAATTCTATTAATATATATAAAATTATTTTTAATTATTTATTTAATTTTATATTTATATTAAAAAATAATATTTTTTATAAAAATAATATTTTATTAATTTTTAATCAAATACAATTTCATATAATATCGAATCAAATTTAAATTTATAAATATAAACTTAAATCAAATTCGAGCAAAAATTCACTTCAGTCCAATCAATTGCCATCTTTAGCAATAACCCCACAAGCCTCGGCTAAAATAAAAGGGCAACACATCAAGGGATTTCATTAATCAAAATAACAAAGGAGTCATCAGATATAGAACATGAGGTGAAGTTGACTTCCTCAGCTGCCATATCCTGCCAGTGCATCAGCACACAGGTTACCTTCACGGTACGTATGCTTCATCATTATTTGTTGAAATTTCCTCAACAGAGTCCTGCAATCAGAAACAAAAGTGTTAAGACGCCAATCAGTAATGCTAATGTTATTAATTAGGTTGATCACAGCCTTTGCGTGCAACTCGATTTCCAGCATTCCTATTCCCTCTTTCTTTGCCAAGTTGACGCCATCTCGTAGAGCCCACAACTCTGCTTCCACACTCCTAGCTCTAGGAATGTATCTGGCGAACCCCTTGATCCATTTTCCTTCGTGATTCTTTGTAATTGCTTCGGCCCCTGCTTTGCCTGGATTGCCCTTCGAGGAACCATCAGTGTTTAGTTTAGACCAGCCCTGGGCTGGTGGTCTCCACCAGACAGCAATGGTGGAAGGAGAGGGATACCTTTTCACTTGACCAGCCAAGGCAAATTATTCTATAGCATGATCCATAGCTTTCTCGGCCACTTTGTTGCTGACGGGCTTACCTTCAGCAGGAACACAAAAACAGTATTCCAAGGGGCCCGTATGTTAGGCAGCCATGTTTTGTCAGTGGCGTTAGTCTTGAGCCAGTTTTCTCATGCATCGTTGCTGGTGAAGTTGGTTTGAATGAGGTGGTTTAAAGAAGACCACCAGGGTTTGACAATGGGGCACTCAGCTGGTAAGTGTATAAACGTTTCATCTTGGTCATTATATAGAGGGCACCTGCCTTGAACGTTAGTACCTCTTACCATGTAGAAGGCTTGAGTGGGAAGAACTTTCCCAAACTCCGTTAGAATGGATGATGAGATTTTTAAAAAAATTATTATTATTATAATTATAATTCAAAAATTATTTTAATTATAATCAAAAAATAAAATTTTAATAAAAAATTTATATTTAATAAATCACATTAAAATTAATATTTAAATTTAATTGATAATATAAAATTTAATCTTATCGTGTCAACAAACAACAATACAGTGTAATCCAAACTTGAGCTTAATACATTCTCAAGTAAAAAATTTCAGCTGATATATTTTATCGGTGAAGTCTTAATTGTTGAAGAATCGGTTATATTTTTTTTTCGCTATTGTCAGTTTTTTTTAATAAATCAAAAGTCCAATATTTTATTTTATATTAATTGACGGGTAGAAATAGCAAAAAACAGGTTGTATTTTGCCCAGAAAGCCAGAATTGATATATGTGTTACACTTGTACTCCTATTTATATAACCTTTTTTATGCATGGTTAAAGAAAAAATATCTTCCAATTATTTAAAAAAAAAAAAAAAAAATCTTTATTCTTGTCTTTTCTTTAACCAGCGATGGACCGACTCTTTTTCATGGGAGGAATGAGTATTACTTGAAAAATGCCAGAGGCGTTAAAAGGTGAATTTAAAAAACAATTTAAGAAAATGGTTTTATCTCCCCGCAAACGAGCCCACTCTAAACTCTTCATCCATACCGTTCACTTGATATCAATCACCTATCACCCACAGATTGAATGATAACTCAAAAATGAATCCGACGACGTAACTAAAACTCTCTTCACTCATCTTTGCAAGGCTCAAAAACACATTGCAAGTAGTTAAAAGAACCCCACGTGCCACCACTATATCCGATCTAACTCGCCACCCATGGCGACCCCCGGGACCATTCCGATGACCAGCTCTCAATCCCCGGCGGGTAACGGGACCCAATCACAACCCCCGATAGCGACGCCCGCGTTTCGCGCGTTCATCTCACGCCTCACTTCCTCGATCCGTCTGGGACTCTCTCGACGCCGTCCATGGTACGAACTCATCGATCGGACTGCCATGGCCCGTCCCGATAATCTAACGGACGCCTATTCTCGGATCCGCAAAAACCTCTCTTACTTTAAAGTCAATTACATAACTCTACTCGCAGTTGTTCTTGCTTTCTCTCTCCTATCTAATCCTTTTTCCCTCCTCGTCCTCCTTGGCCTCCTCGCCGCTTGGGTCTTCCTATACCTCTTCCGACCGTCGGATCAACCTCTCGTGATATTCGGCCGTACTTTCTCCGATCGCGAGACGCTTGGTGCGTTGGTGGTGTTGACTGTCTTCGTTGTGTTCTTGACCAGCGTTGGATCGCTCTTGATCTCCGCGCTCTTGATCGGAGTTGCTATCGTCTGCATACACGGTGCGTTTAGGGTTCCAGAAGACTTGTTCTTGGATGATCAGGAGCCTACGAACTCCGGATTCCTCTCCTTCCTCGGCGGCGCTGCTTCCTCCGCTGCCGCTGCGGCGGCCCCTGCAGTTGCCTCACGCGTGTGAACAACAGATCTTTCAAGCGGCACGTTCGTATGATCTTTTTACCTTCGTTTATGGTAAATCAAAACGATTTGCTGTCTTTATTGTAGATTAAAATATTCAATTGTAGCTTTACTGTCTTGTTTGCATTTAGATTTGGATCTCTACTTCGATTAAGGGTTAGATCTTGCTATGTTTTGATTTGGATGTTGTATTATTTGCCGCTGGAAAGTTTGATTTTTATGAGATTTAAATTTAGTTTTTATTGGTCACATAATTTTTTGGTATACGAAGATACTAAAAGTTGTGCTTTGATTGGTCACTTCAATGTTTTTACATTGGCAGATTAAAAGAATTTGAAAGGGTTTAGGGAAAGGTTAAGCTAGATAACTGTTATATGAAAGTAGCTCTAATTTGGTGCTTTTCTGTTTTATTTGCTTGAAATGAGTTAGTGGAAGGTTCAAGCTAGTTAGCTGGCTCGAACTGTAGCTGTTTGCTGCATAAGATTCAATGGTATATTGATTCAAGTTTACAAGAATGATGGGCATTCAATAGCTTGTTTGGTTAACATCATGGAAGGAATCTTTTTATCTTCGATGATGAGGTGATTCTATTTGGTAGGCTGCTGTAGTTTTTGCTATTGTAATAGAGGGGAATCTTCAATCGACTTATACAAGGAATTAAATTTCTCTGGAGTTGGAGATAAAACTATTCCATCTTTGTTTTCCAAAAGTTGCCTAAGATTATTTGTAGTGTTTCTTGTGAGGTGTGTGAGTCAGTGTTGTTTGAGTTTCTGTTATTATGCAATTTAGCTGGTACTAATTCGAAATTTTTCTTTGCTTCCTCTTGGTTGTTGAGTTTCTGCTTGTGAGTTTATTGGGTGGGCTTAAGATTAGCAGTTTGCTTACCCATGAGCTTAATGATTTGAATATATTAGTATTCACATGTCATCTCCATATGGTAATATGGTCTTCTACACCCATACATGTTTAGAACTCCTAGATTCTGAGAAAAGTGCAATTGCAGTCCTTGCTTGTGCTAGAATACACGAGGCACCTGCATAATGTAGCCTAGACACAGATTCTCATTTGCTTTATGTTCCAAGTCACTAGATAAAAAATAGCATCCATCTTTCTCAGAGTGATTCATGGACATATAACATTTTTGGTGGCGGTTATGGATATGGGTTTTGCTATGGAACTATTGTCATTGTTGTGTGTAAGAAAGTGTAGAAGCCAAACAGGAATGATGGACATGACTTAAGGTAAATCATTAGACTTGGCAATTCTTGTGCTCATGTCATGTATATAAAACTATCACTGAAATTCCTATTTGGCTAAAACTTTATGAGCAAAAGCAGATAATGGTTTATGGGAGGTACAGGTGGCTGCATAACTACGTTTAAATGGCATGTAAATGCTGTTATGCACAAATAATAGGCCACTTTGTACATGGACGACAAGAAATGACAACTTTGGGTAGCTAATGGTGAATATGTTATCAGCAACAAATGATGTATTTATTAATGCTTTGCAGAGCTGGCCGGTAATCTCCTTATGATAAAAGTTGCATTGATTATGCCCCAATATGCAAATGTTCTGGTAAATCAAGAAATAACCTTATTGCATCTTGCCAAAGAATTCCACTTTAACCATCATATACCTAGTCACTAGTGCATGCTCTCAAGTTAAGTGTTACAAGCACTACTTATTTTTACACGATTTATAAACTTAATAATTTAAAATATGATATGAAAACAATACGAAAAAAGATACAAAGGTGACATAGCTTAGAATTTTAACAAAAATTATATACGGGTTTAACATTCAAATTAGGTTCCAGTATCTTTGGATACTAACCATTTTCTATTGTTCTCCACTATAGCGTTTGTAGTAACTAATGAATTTTTTTAGTACAGTTAACAACAAACATTCTAATGACTACAGGGTATGGACGGATTGCAAAGTATAATGTCTTGCCTTCGTCTATTGTCTTTTATTTTTTAAAAAAAGAGGTTGCGAATTACAGGTTTATGTCTAGAGACTACTATAGCATTGAGCACGCCAAGTACCCTACTAATAAAATATCTCCCAAGTTCCAAGAATCCTCAATGGTCATGTATAGTTATTTTTTACTCTTGTGCCATGAATGTGGAAAATGGAGATAGATAAATTTCTTTAAATTGGAAAGCCACAGATAAATCAACGGATAAATGGTTATAAATGTATTTGGATGGAATTGGGAGTGTTCAACAAGGCCGAGGATTGAAAGAAGTGTTCCCTGGGCAGGTATTTGATGTCAGAACACCCTCTCAAATCGGCACAATTACAGATTCATTTATCTTTCATGAAACCAATAACGTGTGATAAGGGAACATCCCCCTCTTGAGCATTCAAATTCCTGGTCTTGGGCCTTTTTGCGTATTATGACCCATAGTGTCTACGGGAGAGCCTGAGCCCTGAGCCATTGACGACGATGGATTTTCCTTCTGTACCTAAGGTTAAATTTAGAAGTCCCCTGGTCACAAAACGTAAGCTGATGATGATGACCAACTCTTGTCCGTTTATCAATCTGCATAGCTTAAGCTTAATAAAACTCGAGCCTCATCATTAACTGCAAAAAGGCTACCTGTCCTTTGTCCATTTCCTCCCCCGTACAGCGTAAAATCTTAAACAATATCCCCGAATCCAACGGGTGTACATCAACGACAAGATGACGTCAATCAATCCCATTTTGTCAGGCAGTAAAGTAATTCGCACTTGCGTTGAGATAATGACATGTCATATTAACCTCGTATCACTAATTAAAATCCCCCGGACTTAAAAGGCCCACGTCCCGAGCTTAACCTCAACCCTGCATGGGTAATTTGGTCATTCCATTTATAAATGTCTGACCAATTTTTTTGCAACTTCGTAGGATATAATCCCAAGCAGGAGTTTCTTGGGTAGGACCTATTTAAAAAGATAGCCGTTAGAGGAGCGGCAAGCGCAATAAAAGAGCACAGATTCAATCCACTAACTGGTCAAAACTTATAGGAAAACATTAAGAAATGTGAATAGAGAGGAAAAAGAAAATGTTAATGTTTGGAGTATGAGAAAACTAGCCGTTAGGCTTGTGTGGGCGTGCAAGAGGGAGAAGAGCCTCTGCTCCCTTAATGCACCCACCTGACATTTGTCTGCTGTTTTTTTCTCTCCCAATACCAAAAGATTCTTCTCTCATATGGTCTTCACGTGCTCTTTCACAGCAAAACCCCACCTCTTGAAGCTCTCTTCCTCTCCTGTCTCTACTACATAACCCTCCCACAGCTACCCATTTTCCCTGTTTCCTTCCTCCATCCATGCCTGCCCAAATCAACACAATCAGACTTGAGAAAAAAAAAAAAAGAGAGGGACAACAAACACGAATATATAAATCTAAGCAACAAGTGACTACCATTTCTTCCTTTGTTTAAGGTTCTTTGCCACTCACTCCTTGATGGAAATAGAGAAACAAAATTTTAGGTTTCTGATTTGTAGATATGTAGACTGGAGCTATATTTCAAATAAGAAAAGGGAGAAATGGAAGGATATTTCTCTTTTTACCCACATTTTCTTGCTTTTTCAGCTGTTTGTCTGCTTCTTCATTCAACCTGTTTCAAGTGAGGCTTGGGATGGTGTCATTGTCACAGCAGCGGATTTTCAAGCGCTTCAAGCGTTTAAGCAAGAATTAATTGACCCAAAAGGGTTCTTAAAAAGCTGGAATGATAGCGGATATGGGGCTTGTTCTGGTGGTTGGGTTGGAATCAAGTGTGCTCAAGGGCAAGTCATAGTTATCCAACTCCCATGGAGAGGGTTAGGTGGCAGAATCACTGAGAAAATTGGCCAACTTCAAGCTCTTCGAAAGCTTAGCCTCCATGATAATCTCATTGGCGGCTCCATCCCTCGTGCATTAGGCATTCTCCCTGATCTTAGGGGTGTTCAGCTATTCAATAATAGGCTTTCAGGTTCAATTCCTGCTTCATTAGGTTCGAGTCCTTTGCTTCAAACTCTTGACCTTAGTAATAATTCACTCATTGGGACAATCCCTGATAGTCTTGCAAACTCTACAAAGCTTTACAGGCTCAATCTTAGCTTCAATTCTTTTTCGGGATCAATCCCGGTTAGTATCACTCACTCTACTTCTCTTATTTTTCTTGCCCTTCAACACAACAACCTTTCTGGTTCCATCCCAGATTCTTGGGGGGCACCACAAAAGAATAGCTTTTATCAACTTCAGTACTTAAACCTTGACCATAATCTCCTCTCCGGAAGCATACCTGCCTCTTTAGGAAAGTTAAGTGAGCTCCAAGAAGTTTCTCTTAGTCATAATCTGATTACAGGACCCATACCAAATGATATGGGAAGGCTTTCTAGGCTTAGAAATCTAGATCTTTCTAATAATGCAATTAATGGAAGCTTGCTTGCTAGTCTCTCCAATCTCTCCTCTCTTGTTCTGTTAAACCTGGAAAACAATGGTCTTGAAAACCAAATCCCAGAATCCATTGACAGTTTACATAACCTTTCTGTTCTTGTTTTGAAGAGAAACAAATTTAGTGGTCCAATACCAGCAACTGTAGGAAACATTTCCAGTTTGACTCAACTTGACTTGTCAGAGAATAGGCTCAGTGGACAAATCCCATTTTCTCTTGCTGATCTCAAAGGTCTTAGTTCTTTAAATGTTTCATATAATAACCTCTCTGGTCCTGTTCCAGCTTCACTCTCCCAAAAGTTCAACTCAAGCTCTTTTGTGGGAAATATTCAGTTATGTGGGTATACTGGATCAACTCCATGTCCTTCTACAGCACCTTCTCAAAATGTCCCTTCTTCACCATCTGAGAAAAAACACAAACATAGAAAATTGAGTATCAAAGATATAATCCTAATTGCTGCTGGAGCCCTTCTTATAGTTCTGCTTGTTCTTTGTTGCATTTTGCTGTATTGCGTGATCAGAAGAAGGGCAACATCTAAAGCAAAAGATGGACAAACAACCAGAGCTGCTGCTGCTGCTGCAGCAAGAGGTGAAAAGGGAACTCCACCTGCTGGTGGTGAAGTTGAAGCAGGAGGAGAGGCTGGTGGGAAACTAGTCCATTTTGACGGGCCTACGATTTTTACTGCTGATGATCTTCTGTGTGCAACTGCGGAAATTATGGGGAAGAGCACCTATGGGACTGTTTATAAGGCCACGTTAGAGGATGGGAACCAGGTTGCAGTAAAGAGACTTAGAGAAAAGATTACCAAAGGTCAGAGAGAATTCGAAAATGAGGTCAATGTGCTGGGCAAAATCCGACACCCAAATCTTCTGGCTTTGAGGGCTTATTACTTGGGACCTAAAGGAGAGAAGCTTCTTGTTTTCGATTACATGCCTAAAGGGAGTCTTGCAACTTTCCTTCATGGTAAGTTAAATGCAAAATACAACTATTTTGATTACTAAAATATTGCAGTTTTCATCCAGCTAATAATACGTTCTATCTTGCATTCTTGCTGCAGCTCGAGGGCCAGACACAGCCATTGATTGGCCAACAAGGATGAGAATAGCAAAGGGGGTTGCTCGAGGTCTGCTGTACCTTCATACTCAACAGAACATTATACACGGGAACCTTACATCAAGCAATGTATTACTTGATGAGGATACAAATGCTAAAATAGCAGATTTTAGCCTTTCTCGTCTAATGACAGCTGCTGCAAATGCGAACGTAATTGCAACCGCTGGAGCATTAGGCTACAGAGCACCGGAGCTTTCAAAGCTTAAGAAAGCTAACACAAAAACTGATGTGTACAGCCTTGGAGTAATCATATTAGAACTCCTAACAGGGAAATCTCCAGGAGAGGTGATGAATGGCGTGGATTTGCCACAATGGGTCGCCTCTATAGTGAAAGAAGAGTGGACGAATGAAATTTTTGATCTGGAGTTGATGAGGGATGCGTCTTCCATTGGTGATGAGTTACTTAACACTTTGAAACTCGCTTTACATTGTGTCGATCCGTCACCGTCAGCAAGACCAGAAGTTCAACAGGTTCTCCAGCAGCTAGAAGAGATTAGACTAGACACACCTGCTAGTTCTGCACCATCTGGCGATGATGGAGCAGGAGTTCCTTCAACAAGCGAGTGAGAAAAGGGTTATAGGATGTGGATTATGTGTTAGGCAATAGAGTATAATTCTTTTATTCTTACATGGTATCTTTAGACATTAATTTTGTGTGCCAATTTATGAGTCTGTAAATATGAGTATGTTTTAATTACTCGAGGATGTTGTCTTCAGTGTTTTAATAGTTGGTTTCCTTCCATCCCCTGGAAAGACTAGGCAATTTTGAAATTGTCTGCAATTGATTCACTAGAGAAAAGATTGTTTTTCAGTTAAGATTTTTGGCCAGTTAGAAAATATGTTTGAATTTGAGTTACTTTTTGATGGCTTCTTAGAGAATCTAGTTTTAACTTAATGTAAGCATCTGCCATAAATTAATCATTACTTCTTCCTCCAACCCAAGCAAATTTCCATCTTTATCTATCAATGCTGTATTTGTCACATATGTCACTGAATTCAACTTTTTTACCAAAAATGTAGCAAAGAACTCAATTTTTATTCTAAAAATTGATTTAGAATGGCAAATAAATACTGACAGTAAATGATATATACATAACAGCTTCAGTTATCATTTCCAGGAAAAAAGAAAAGAAAAGAAAAAACAAATCATTAACTTATATTCAATAAAAAGGTATACATAAGTCTCAAAAAAGTAAAATTTACTTTCATTGATCGTTCCATACATGTACTTAATTATACATGTAGATTAAAGGGGGCAATCTGTCCTATTTGATTCATAAGAATCCCTTCATAGAATTTTATATCGCACTGACAGTTTAGGGCAATCTGTCCTTGGAATTGTTACAGATAAGATTTCATCAAACAAATAACGTAATGATCTTCACAAAACACATTTTTCCTTGTTTCATTCATCTTTACATTCTGTTAGTTCTTACCAAACTTAATACGTATAATGTTTTCAATAAATCACTTTAAGCACAAAAGTAAAGGCATACAGGTTAAGGCTATGGTTCACAAAGATTTGCAGCAGATTTTCAATTCATCGTCACTTTGGTTTTAGCATACTTTTAATGTCCAATGGCTGTTCCATTGAAGGGTGTAGATCTAGAGATCAGTTCACCCTACCCAAATTTATTAGTATTTATTATGCATATTATGCAAGAAAAGAGCTCAATATGAAATGGACCCCAAATAGGCAATGATTGGAAACTTCACACAAGATTAGGGCCTCATCAATCTTCTAATTTAACTATAGATATTTTATTTTGTCTAAAAACTTTTTCAGAATTAAAATTGAGTTTTGACTGTAAATTGAGCTCGATTATAAAACTTCAGGCTCAATAAATTTTTTTTAAATTTTAATTTGATTTATTTATTTATTTATTTTTGTTTAATTTTACTTGTTTCAAAAAGTAAATAAAAAAATTAAAAAAATTAGTAAAAAAAAAGGGAAAGTTTTTGCAAGAAATTTTAGTGCTTGATTCAGGCAACCACTGAAATTAAATCATAATCAAATCAAATCAAATGAAATCACAATCCCAATTTCGATTTACTTGGCAAAATAAAGAGAAATTGAATCTCTATAAAATAATATTCAATCACACACACAAAGGGGGCAATCAATCAAAGTTGTTAAAAAAGTTTTTTCAAGTTTTTGAAAGTTTTTGGGAGAGAGAAAAAGATTATATAAAAACTTTTGAGAGAAAAGAGAGAAATTTATTTAGCAACCAAGAGGATTAAATTCTGGGTTTGATTTGTTTAGATTTTTTGAAATTGGGATTTGATGTTTTTGAGTTTGAATTTTTGTCGAGCTTTGCATTCTAGGAATTTTTAGGTTTAACTTTTTGGACAATTTTATTGAGTTTCTAGAAATTTCTTTGAATTTTTCAACAAAGAGTTGAAGTTTCTGGTACCAGCGTCAAAGAATCTCACTTGTTTTTGAAAATTCTCTATCGACTTCTAAAATTTATTCATCGGTTTTTAAGCACTTATAAATCAATTAAAGATAAGATAAAAAAAATAATCATTTTAGAAAGAAAGGCATACTTAGAGCACTTTTAAAAGAAAACTTGAAATTTGAGTTTTTATAATAACCTAATATGACATTGATTTAAAACTCTTAAAAGTATCTAGGTTTGCATGTTTTACTATATCCGTATCTAACCTTCAGTACAACCCGATTTTGACTAACTCCTTGTCTGTTGCATTGAGTTGAGTCGCATCAGAAATCAAATTCCAAGCTACTCGAGTTGATTTGTGCTTGTAATTGCCTTGTTCAACAGCCAAGCTAAGCCAATTTCAAGTAATTTTATTTTTTTTATATGTTATTTTATTTACTTATTTATTCATTTATTTATTTTGTCTATTATTTTTAATATTCTTATAAAAAATGTTTTTTATATAACAAAATAAAAATTTAAATAAAAGCCTTACTGACATATTAGAAAGCAATTATTTTTTAAAATAGAGTTTTACTAACATATAAAAAACTTTATAATTTTATTTGTTTCAAAAAATATATAAATAAAAAGCTTTATCAACAAATTGGAGGGTCAATATTTTTTCAAAATAAGGTTTTAATAATATATTGTAAAGCCTTATAATTTTTTTAAAAAAATCAAGTTTTTTAAAATAATTATAATAATAAAATAATTTTTTTTATATATATAAAATCTTACTAATAGATTGGAGATTAATTTTAAACAGAAAGTCTTACCAACAAATTGAAGGATATTTTTTATTATAAAATTGATTTATAGTTATTTATTTCTACAAGTAAAATTAAGTGAATCCAACAACGAAATCTCTTGAAAGCAAAGACAAATAGTTTCTTTGAATACTCTTGAAATAAAAATATATTCTTAAATTATTATTAGACTATTATCATATTTTAGATGGGTGCTATAAGAGTGCTATAATATTCCTTATGCATAACCATACTTTTAAATCTAAATATGATTTCGTAGACTAAAATCAATTATTTAAAAATATTTAAATTAATCTTGAGATTTTTCTTTAAATATAACAAATTCTGTCAGGTAACCAATCGTATCTTAATAAAAAAAAATTGATAGTAACTCTTTTAATTTATGTCTAATAATAGATTTACAGATCTATATGTTATGTTATTAAGTATAAACATTAATCACAATTGGCATGGCTCTTGTAGTTTCAGTTCAGACGAATTACAGTACGTCGGCCTCTAGTTTATGGCTTTTGTCCTCTAGGCTGTGTCAATGAAAGACTTGGCGTAAATACTTGACTGAAGTTGATGTTGAGCCTACAAATTATGCTGCATAAATGAAATTTCTAATGCTCTTCAATATTTTTCTTCATTTTGAATAAATGAAATTGCTGATATATAAGTTTCCATTTTTGGTAGCGGTGTGAATTGCATTACAAAGGCCTCTGGTGGGCCAAGCTGTTCATAATATATCGTATAAACCGTTTGTCAAAAGACTCAAACCTTCTAAAATAAAGGTGACTTTGCCGCTGTTATTAAGAATCTGTCAATCCTTTTGAAGGGGCTAAAAATGGGATTTCATTACTCTCTCTAAATTATTTTGTTGCTGAAACTTTTTTTGTCCAAGTAATTCAAAAAAGGAAAAAAAAAAAAACCCCATCAATTAGGTGTTCCATTTTGTAGCATTCAATCGGAAAGTGGTTGGAGACTTCATTTCCAGGTTTTTATATTAGTCATTTGGTTTTATTCTCATCAACTTTCAGGTCATTTACATTCAGTTTTTAGTCTCATCAAGTTTGTTATTGAAACATTCCATGATAACGTGAATGATCAACTGATCCCAAATAGCAATTTCCTTTAACCGTCCATATATCACTGTCTGGATAGATTGATTAGATGGTAAATTCTAACGCTAACTAGCATTGTTACAGAACAGAAATGGTTTGTAGACTATCCACAAGTTCACACCCACCTATAACTACCAGTGAAAATGAAAAGCCAAGAAAGCAAGTGGGAAATGATCAAAAACAAAAAAAATGAAAACAGAAGAAAATTTTGACAAGCTTCAGCTCTTCCATCAATTTTTTTTTTCATTTCCTTTATTACTTATAACGACCTTCTTATGTACTTTTATTTTCTCTTTAAGATTCTGAAAAGTCAGTAACAAACTTCACCAACTTTGTTAATTGTTCCTTCAATTTTGTTCACCTATCTAATCCTAACCCTCTCTCTCTGTTGACATGCTTCTGTCAAAAGATTAACCGTTTTGTCACTCAAAACTTGTTTTTGGCCTTTGCTTGTTGTTTCTCAGTTCAGCCATTGTTGCCATTGAATACAGCAATACCAAAATCATGACATTAGGGATAAATAATTTTTTCTTGTTTTTCAAGATTTTTTTTTTACAATTTTTTATAGCCAATACCATAGGGCTTGATCTTGATTTCCTTTATGTAATCTAGAACATATTAGGACTGTAGCTCTCATCACTAATTTTAATTAATTCTTCCCATTATTTTGTTTCTCCATAATGTATCAAAACCTTATTTTGACAGTGACAGTTTCCTACATGGCTGTCTGTCTTTGACAGATGCTCCTGAATAACAAACCAATGTCATCTCACAAACTCCGTTATGTTGTTTCTATTACAACTTTGGGTAAATAATTTTTTTTTTTTTTGGGTACCTATAGGATAAATAAAGCAACCAAATGTTCTCATTTTTCACTGCAAAATTGTTGGTTAAATTAAAGGTGCTTATCTTTCCAGGAGACATTTTCCTTCGGTGGTTACCAACTAAACAGTAAAGCAGAAAAAAAAAAAATGAACCAGGTTTCCCTTGTGTATAAACCAGATTTGCAACACTCCCATTCTTTTTCAAAGTTAATTGCAGCATCACAGGGTTTTCTCAAATATAAGAAAACAATTGCTATGAAGGGTTTTTATTTTCCTATCTGAATAATTTGCATTACAAGTAAGCTGGGGTTTGGTGCAAGAACAATTAAATGCCAAGCACATACATACCTGTATATGCTTACATGAATCGAGTAACATATATAGTTTAAAACATTATTTTTTCAGTAAAAATTTAAGATCAAATTTTAATCAAAACATTAACAACAAGTGAGCAAATGATAAAAACAATACGACGAGTTGGATCTTTTTAGTTCATCAAACATGCGATCATGTAAGAAAATAACCGAATCGTACATTTTGAATAGGTAAATGTCACATTTCTTACTAGGATCTTCATGACAACTCACTTAATTCCTCATATAATAAAATTCGAAATGACCAGTTGAAGTATCCACTAGACTTCTTGTTAAGAAAAATCAGTTGTTGGACTCAATCAAAATCTCTATTTTATTATCATATACTCATAATTAATAATAATAAATAATTGCCACTAAATAAAAGTATACTTTTGCACAGCCTTTTCTTTGATTGAAGATTAACTATAGATTCAATCTGTTTGTCTTAGGTCCACATTTAACCTAAACTAATCAGGTGTCAATCCTCTAGATTAGTGCCACGCGCGTCTATATGAGAAACAGATAAAAAATCTTCCCCTGGCTCTTTCATGGAGGCTGATCTTGAGTGACTCTAACAGATTAAATAAATTATAAATTTGATGAGTTATTCATGCATTTCAGGAATTTTATTAAAACAACCTGTCTAATGGACCTTTTATTTTATTTTATTTTGGGTTCTTTCGATGAAAAAGGTTAATGGAAACTACTATACATACATATATATATATATATATATATATATATTCACCTCAATCCCTTTCATTCAATGGCTTAGCCAACATCACATTGATCCCCTCCCACGTCTATGAAAGCTGAGTTCAAAGAAAGTGATGTGTTTCCTTTTTACAAATTTTGAAGCTTTTCAAGTTTTAGGTAATGGTAATTTAGTAGGTTCCTTTTCAAGAAGATTAAATTTGCTCCCTCATAGTAATTCCTTTTGCTTTGTATTTAAAAGAACTAATTTCACACAGAAGAAGAAAGGGCTTGAAAAAATGAGAAATGAAATGCCAATAGTTGTATAATTTGTTCGTAAATTATTAAATTCTTTTTTAAAGACTCGAATACTTAAAAAACTCATAAATGAAGTATTAATACCTATTGAGTATGTATAAGAGAAATTATACTAGGTCAAGTCTACTTTATAACAAAAGTGCTTTTGGTTCTCTAAAAAGTTTAGTGTTCACATGATCAATTTCTTTGTTTGGCTGGAAAACAATGGTTTTGACAATCATCCCTCTCTTTTTTATTTTGCCTTTGGACTAAATAATAAACCAAGAATTTCAATCTTGATTTGATGTGTACATCGAGAATATATACATGTAAATTATCATTTTCAGCTTATAATAATTATTTAACGAATTAAAAGTTTTACAGGAATAAAGAGAGTTTGTTTGTTGCCTTGCAAAATCTAATAATAATGATGATTTGCTAGCTGAAATCCTTGTGAAGCAAGCATTCAAGAAATTATTCACTTTTAATTAATAGGCTAGTGGGTGTAACAACTCCTACAGGGTTGAACTAAGTTTTGCCTGGAATACGACCATTTTGCCGAATCAAAACCTAATCTGCCAACCTCAAACAACTCTCTCTCTCTTCTAATCTTCCTATAAAATGCCGTCTCTCCTTTCATCAAGCAACTTATCACTCAAACAAAAGGCAAGCTTTAGCTATAGCTAAGTTTCAGATGCAGACTTTCAAGAACTTTTCCATCATTTTCCTTGGCCTATTCCTTTTCCTTTGTTCTGCATTGTCCTTGGCAAATGCAGAAGTTCAACAACATCAATTTGTTGTATGTCTTCTTCTTCTTCATTGATCCTCTGATCTCCAATTTAGTTATCAATTTGCCTTAGTTGCCTTTTTTTTTTTTTAAATCGAAGTGAAAGTTTGATGTTTCTTTTAATTAGCTAAATCAAGCACTTGATTGTCTATGAAACAGATCCAAGCAACAAAAGTGAAGAGGCTGTGCAAGACTCACAACAGCATCACTGTTAATGGCATGTTTCCTGGACCCACCCTGGAGGTCAGGAATGGAGACACCCTTGAAGTTAAAGTTGTCAACAAATGCAGATATAATGTCACCATTCATTGGTAACTATAATAATTGCACATTCATGCATACGATTCAACTTTCTACATAAACATACAGTTTTCCTTATGCTTACCTCCCTAAGAAAAATATCCCACTTCTGAATTTTCGTAAGGTATCCTTATCTGACACATATTGAATATCTTTAAATCAAAATAATTTATATAACTTATTACAGCATTAATTCAATGAACATACATAGTCATTTACACATTTTATAAGTTGGTATATAATTAATTAATAGATGTCGTGACTCTTTCCTTTCCAATTATTGTTCTCTTGAATACAATAAAGCTGAACAATAAAAACTACTTTGTTTTACAGGCATGGTGTTCGGCAAATCAGAACCGGATGGGCAGATGGACCGGAATTTGTGACTCAGTGCCCAATTAGGCCAGGAGGAAGTTACACATACAGGTTTACAATTCAAGGACAAGAAGGAACATTGTGGTGGCATGCTCACAGCTCGTGGCTTAGAGCCACTGTTTATGGAGCTCTGATCATCCATCCGAGAGAAGGCGAATCCTACCCTTTCCCTAAGCCAAAGCGCGAAACACCAATTTTACTCGGTAATTAATGATTCTTAAGCAAGAAAAATAAAATTTGTGTGGAGAAATGAATATTTATTAAGGAGGATCAGCATGAATCTTATGTTGATGATTATCATCAGGTGAATGGTGGGATGCAAACCCCATTGATGTTGTGAGGGAAGCAACAAGGACAGGGGCAACTCCAAATATTTCGGATGCGTATACCATCAATGGTCAACTTGGTGATCTCTACAAATGCTCCAGCAAAGGTTTGCTCTAGTTCAGAATTTTTTCCCATTTTTACTCTTAAGCTAATTTACTTCATGTTCCCTAGAATTTGGATAGTACCTGTCTATCCACATCACCCCTAGCTACACTGAATAAATTAAATCAAAATCATAGCCTTCAGTATAAATCAATTCTAAGATTTAATAATGTGATATTTTCTTCTTTTAGCGGCGAACATTGGCTTTGATTAGACAGTTTTAATTAGAACAAACGTATTTTAATAATCAAAAGGAACAGAGATGCTTAGGTATCGAAATCAGTTTATAGAATCTTTAAGACAACTGGCCAAATGGTGCATAATGAATATGTTAACAGCAAAAGGGACTGTAACCTACCAAATGGGACGGATCTTGATTGGTTAGTCATGGCCTACCAGTCTCCATATGAGCCCCATTCAAGATCTTAACCATAATAACTGAAATTTCAAACTTCAGTTCCATATGATTTTCCCGGAAATGACCTGCTTAACCTTTTTTTCCAGACACTACAATAGTTTCCATTGACTCCGGTGAGACCAACCTACTCAGAGTCATCAATGCAGCCTTGAACCAACCGCTTTTCTTCTCGGTGGCCAACCATAAGTTCACAGTTGTTGGTGCTGATGCCTCCTACACCAAGCCCTTCACCACTTCGGTCCTCATGCTAGGCCCTGGCCAAACCACTGATGTTCTGATCACAGGTGACCAGCCACCGGCTAGATACTACATGGCAGCCCGTGCCTACCAAAGCGCCCAAAACGCACCCTTCGACAATACTACCACAACAGCCATTCTTGAATACAAGTCAGCCCCTTGCCCTGCCAAAAAAGGCCTTGCACCCAAACCAATTATGCCTTCTCTGCCAGCCTACAATGATACCAACACTGTCACAGCCTTCAGCCGAAGCTTTAAAAGTCCACGAAAAGTTGAAGTCCCAACTGATATTGACGAAAGCCTGTTCTTCACAGTTGGTCTAGGACTCAACAACTGCCCACCAAATTTTCATAAAAGTCGTTGTCAAGGACCAAACGGTACACGTTTCACTGCCAGCATGAACAATGTCTCATTCGTGTTCCCACGAAACTTCTCTCTGTTACAAGCTCACCAGCAAGGCATTCCAGGAGTTTTTACAACAGATTTTCCCAGAACCCCTCCAGTGAAATTTGATTATACTGGAAATGTGAGCCAATCACTTTTCCAACCAATTGCAGGAACTAAGCTGTACAAATTGAAGTATGGTTCAAGGGTACAAATTGTGATTCAAGACACAAGCATTGTCACACCTGAGAACCACCCAATTCATCTTCACGGATACGATTTCTACATCATTGCAGAAGGTTTTGGAAACTTCAATCCTAAGAAAGATACTTCTAAATTCAATCTTGTCGATCCACCTCTCAGGAACACAGTTGCAGTGCCTGTGAATGGATGGGCAGTCATTAGATTTATTGCTGATAATCCAGGTAAAAATAATACTGAAAGGTCTTCAGATTATTTCAAATCATCTTTCAATGGAATCCTTCGTTTGATATTTGAATTTGAACTCTTTCATTTGCTACAGGTGTATGGCTAATGCACTGTCACTTGGATGTTCATATCACATGGGGTTTGGCCATGGCTTTCATCGTTGAAAATGGAGTTGGAGAATTACAGACTCTCCAACCACCACCGCCTGATTTGCCTTTGTGTTAGGATTCATCATCGGAAACAGTACGATTATTGAAATTTATACGCCCAATAAGAAGGGCTCATTACCTTCTTTCTTGTTAGTATCATTTTTTTCTTGTCATTTTCATAGCATACAAATTCAGGGTTATTTTTCCTGCAACTGGGGTACCTGTTCATCCCCTGTTTCATTGTTTCCTTCGGACAGATAAAGCGGGTGTTATAGGAGATGGTGCTGTGGTTGAAACTTTGAGTACCATCTAATTTAGCTTCGAAACCCGCCATGTTTCTCGATTTAGTTGTATTCTTTTCCCTACATCTAAATTTTAAAGATAAATTTGAAGCTTTTAGAATTATGAGTGGTTTATTTCTTTTCATAATGTAGTTGGAACTTCATGAGCAGTTTTAAAGAAAGACGAAAGAAGAAAATTGGAAGGATTAGTCAATTGTGGGTATAACAATATTGACATTAATAAGGAAAATAATTCAGATTTTGGATGCTAATGGAAGATAGAAGGCTAGAATTACAAGTAATTAAGCCTCCTATATTTGGTTTTCCATCTACAAACATTTTTCTCGATTAGAAATGTTCAAAGTTGAAGATATCATTTTTTATCACAGTATGATGGAAAAAAATGGATTTTCTTAGGCCAAACATTAAAAGAAAAAAAAAAGTAGACTGTTGTGTTGTATCTAAAATTCAGGATTCTACATCTTTCAATCTAATATTCTGAGTTGTGACATTTTCCCAAGGTAAGAAGATGCAATGTGTAGATATTAAATTTGTCTAAATTTAAAATTGAATCTTGTTTTAAAATTTGTCGAGTATAATGGGTTTCCAAACCCGAAGCCCAATTTTATTTCAATTGAGCTCAAGACTTGACTTTAATTGGACTCGAGATCCAATTTTGTTTTAAGCCCAAGACCTATTTATCTTTTATTTTATTAATTTATTAAATGCAATAATAATACAAAAAAACGAAAGGGGTTGATGGGAGTGGGTGCCGTGCAGTGCACGATACCATTACCACCCTCCTATCCACCCTCTGTTCATCAAAACTGTAGCCCCATCACCACCATACCTTGCCTTTTGATTTCTTGACTCTTGAAACTTACCCAATCCAGCCACCACTTGCTCCCTAATTGGCCCTATAAAACCCATAACCCAAAGAGAGACTCGCGCCAAGAACCAAGCCTTGTATAGCTAGCCCCTTAACACCCATCTTCACCCTCCTTCCATGGTCTCTAGTCTTAGTCCCAACACTCAACACCACATCCCCTCAACCCAGCTTGTGCAAGAAATCATGCGACCAAGCCCCACAGACCCACGTAAGAAACAACCAAGCATCCATAACCCCAAATACCTTAACGAAAACCTAACTACCCATCAAACTACAAGCACAAAAAAAAAAATAAAAAATAAAATCACAATCCTCGGCTATCAGGCGAGGAACCATCAATGACTAGCCCCTGCAACAAAAAACAAAAGAAAATCAATTTTAGTTTATATAAAAAAAAAAAAAAAAGGAGACCGATCCATAACCCCAAATACCTTAACGAAAACCTAACTACCCATCAAACTACAAGCACAAAAAAAATAAAAAATAAAAAATAAAATCACAATCCTCGGCTATCAGGCGAGGAACCATCAATGACTAGCCCCTGCAACAAAAAACAAAAGAAAATCAATTTTAGTTTATATAAAAAAAAAAAGAAAGGAGACTGAAACTTTATGCCTTGATCTACGCTGATCGAGGCTATTTCTGGTGAAAAGGAGATCGAATCCAGTAAGAGCTCGTCAAGTATAATTTTTTGAAATTTTTTTACGATCGACCCACGACTGGGGCAACGAAGAATGACCGACTGATCGATCTAAAGAGAGAGGCTTTGTAAAAGGGAGAGAGGTAGAGAGAGAAAGAAGAGAAAAAATTAAAGATAAAAAAAATTGACTTTTATAGAAGTCTGAAAGCCAAAATGATGTTGTTTCATTAAAGGATTAAAACAATGTTGTTTTGAGGCTTTAAGATCCACGCGTTAACCCACGACCCGACCTAGATCCCGCACCCGACCTGACGACTTGCTTCTCCTTTAACCTCTGATTGATCCAACTGAACCGACCCAGATTGAGTCGGATTGGCCTCAAACCACTGAATGCAACCAGATCGTCGAGTCGTTCGAACCGATATTGATTGGACCGTTGACCGGTCTGGTTCAAGTAAAAAAAAATTTTTTTGAATTTTTTTATTTTTTTAAAATATTATTTTTATTATTTTAAATTTTATTATTAATATTTATGCATATTAAAATGTTTAAATTTGCTAGAATAAAATTTTGTTGTTTTATATTAATAATTAATAAAAATAAATAATGAAGTATATAGTAAAAATTTGTGATAATTTTGTTAATTTAAAAATAAACCTTATAAAATAATAATAATAGAATATTAAAAAATGTAAGAAAAAGAAATTTTTATCCGACAATGAGATTCAAAGGTACTTCAATGAAATCTCTAGGAGAGAAGATTTTTTTAAATATTATCAATGTATTGGAGTATATATAAAAAAATTTTCAATACAATAAAAATTTTCTTTTTTTGGTTATAAAATAGTAAATAAAAATTAACCAATAAATTAAGAATAAGTAATAAAAAATGAGTAAAAAGAAAATTTAATCTAATGACAAGATTATAAAAGTATTCCGAGTAGAGATGCTTTAAGAAATTCTTAGGTGAGAGGATTTTTTTAAATATTACCAGTATATTTGAATATTTATAAAAATCTTCAATATAATAAAATTTCTTCTTTTATTCTTAAATAAGACAATAATAAAAATCAATAAAATTCTAAAGAGTAAAATAAAATGTGTGCATCAACATTTGCATTGTATGCACGACATAATTTTTTTGAAAAGTAAATTCGAGCCTTCGAGGATGAGATTTTAAGGTATTTCGAGAAGCGATGCCTAAGAAATCTCTAAGTAAGAAAGAGTTCTTCTAATGTTACCAACGTACTGGAACATTTTAAGAATTATTTCGATAAAATTGTTCTAATTTATTTTTCTTGAATAAAATTTGAGCACTAAAAAAATAAAATAAAATAAAAACCAAGACTACAATAAACAAAAGAAATCAAAGAAATTATTTTTCAAACACCGAAAATGAGACTATTTTTTATCAAAATCAAAAGGATAACACGTAGTTAAGTGAAATCGTTTTTAAACAGGTGTTGTACGAGTGCTAATTTTTCTCCGCGCGTAATCGACTCCCTAACCCAAACTACTTCGTAGACCATAAAATTATTTTTTAATAAATTTTAATTAATTTTAAAATCTTATTAAAAAGATAAATTTTAATAAGTGACCAATCACACATAGCAAAAAAATATTAGTGGTGACTCCATTTTTTTATTTTCATTTTCAAATTCGTCGGGCAGCTCCAAAACTGTTACAATCCAATGCATTAGAAGAAAAAGAAAAAGAAAAACTTCATAATTTCTTATAGGGGGAAAAGGTTAGATTGTTACAAATGAAAATGAAAACTAAATCTGTAATTCTGCACTCTATACACATTCATAAGAAACGTAACTACATCTCATGGACCTGTTCTGGACTCCAACACCATGTTGTAACACCAATGCTGACATCGTTCCCCCACAAAAATTTGATGCAGCTATTGCATCACCAATAACCCCAAGCTTTCGATACTGTGCCCAACTGATCAATCCTTCTTCAACCTATGGAATCTTTTACCGCTTTGCCACAATGACAAGGTCATAGGTATTTGCTAAAGATCGAAGTACATTCATTACTTTCTCACAGTCATGTGCTACAAACTCATGACAACTAACACAAGCATTGCTAATGTTCATAGCCTTGAATTCTTCGAACAAGGAGTCATCTAGCTCTCTCTCGAGTTTAAAATCCAATAAATAATTTTCTCTAAAGTGAATCCTCAATATGGTGATTGTAATATTAGGATGACTTAATATTCGAGCTATAAAAGATAATGCCTCGCGGTCATCAACTTCACCAAGAAAAATCATTGCTACATTATAAGAGTTGCTAGTCAAACTAAAATGGTTGCGTAACCCTCTATCCATTAGAATCCCAATCGCGTAATTTGCAAACGCTTGGATGTTATTGTTGAAAATTCATAAGGTGCCATCAGTGCTATGGACTTCTTGGCTTTTGAAAAAGGGGAACTATAATTAGAGGTGTACGTATTGCTTCAGCAAACCTACAAATAGGTTGATGCATGTACTTGAAGGGGGAAATCATTTTGAAGGGCTGAATTTGAACTAGAGCCCTTGAATATGCCGTATATTTTAAAAAAGCTCGCATGATGTTATCTGAGCCATTGGGCTTGCTAAACTTTCTTTTGTGATTGTTGTAAGGGAGTAAAGTTGGAACACTTTGGCTAGCAAGTCCAACAAGATGAATAACATAGGCACAGATTGAGGTAACTTTCTTGGGGTTCAATGCTTCAAGGAGGCTAATGATGCTTGGGACGTAGTCTTCCTCTTAAACACATATAATGATCCGTAACTCTCCAATGATTGGAGTACTTCCAAGTAACCTAGTACGTAGTTTGACAGAGTTAGGCATTTCAAAATTTTTTAACTCGGGCTTGTAGAAGATTTCTATTATGGGTGTTATAATGGCTTTCAGGATAACGATGCTCATCGCTAAAGTTACAAATTTTTGGTCATTTATAAGCTGCACAATACCAACCAAAATTAGATTATTACTAATTCACAAACACAACTGCTTTCAGAGCTAAACATATAGATAAAAAAGTATCGAACTGTTAGGCCAAAAAGCCCTAATCCAATCACACCAGCGGAAGCGAAATCAAATAATGAATCAAACACACAAGAGACAACAATTTAACATGGTTCAGTCTAAGTAACCTACCTCTATAGATGAGAAACAAGATATACTAATTATAGAGAATTACAAACATACATCAAAACATATCAACTACTAAATAATCAATACCATAGACCCTTTCAATCTTTTTTAGTCCTATAGAGTATTCTTAACCTAAACAAACATATTCTATATGCACCATTTCAACATAATCAAACATATACCATATGCACTCATATATCATACCTATATGGACCCTTTCAGTCTTTTTTAGTCCACTTACATATAAACATATACACCTATAAGATGTAAATCTTCAGTAATCTTATGAGGTGTCTATCTTACAAAATCTTACAACTCTTTTACATTTTTTTCTCATAGCTAATCCTATAAAGACTTCATCGATTTATAAGCATACAAACTTACCTATTAAGAATCTTTTTTCCTTTTAGAATCTTTTTTTTACAAGTCAAACTTACCTAGTAAGAATTTACTTTCTCTTAGAATTTTTCTTTTGCAAGTCTTCTTGTACATCAAATAATATTTAACAAATTTCAAACAAATCTCTCATGAAATTTGAGTCACTATTCCTAACAATCTCCACTTTGACTCAAATTATATCAAATGATTTGTCTTCATGTTAGACATGCTTGACTCCATCTGTAATGGAAGTCTTAT